CGGGAGCGCAGCCGCACTTCCCAAGTGGCGCACTAGCGCAGTGCGCCACCGGGCCGGCCCCAATCAAAACAATTTTTAAGGAGTGTGTTATACAGGTGATTTTTCTTCTTTATGATTTTCTGTACTTCACCCATACACATACAATTAGTTTTTAGTAGAATATATCAATGTAGCTTCCTTCTATTAGTACATCTAATTTTCAAAATTATTATACACGACCAGCATGTAATATGTCTAACGATTTGTCCAAATTTGTCTCTTTATATGATAATCAAAAAAATATACACCTATCCTCCCCCCCAAAATTTCTTTCCTGAATGTTTATTACTTTTAAAAGAATTAGACAACATTAATAGTATAAGGCGTGCATTATTAACAGGGGCAGTATCACCTCTAAGGGGGCAAAAATTGGTTCCTGGGGAGAAAAAAGTCAGACATTACAATGGTTAGCAGACTGACAAAGGCCATAGTACAAGATACAGTTTATTTGTGGTATATAAAATTTTCATGGGGAGAGGGGCAATTCGGAAAATAAAAACACAGATACCTTATCTTAATGGCAACACTGAAATTAATGTACATACAAGTACACTTTCAAGTTGAAGCTCCTTAGAATAAAGATATCAGTTCTATATACACATAACTCGCTCTCCTTCCTAGAAATTAAAAAATGGGGGTTGGGGGGAGAGGAGTTGTCCTGCTGAGTGACTCAGAGGCAGTTCTCAATATCTAGGTAAAATCATGCACTTCATAGCAGACCTATCCTCGAGTCTCAACAACAACTGGAGAATGGGCTGTCTTAAGGACATACAAGCCTTTTTTAAAGACCCCTCACAATTGATGGGAAATTACTGCCCAGTTATACATGGAACATTCAGGTGTTGAGTAGGATTTCACCGGTGTTTAAAAGAGAGCAGTCACCATGATTCTCCATCCAGTAATTACACAAACTTTTCTGGAGTTGAGTGAGGTACAGCACCTAACTCCTATCTCAGCACTCCATTTAGAGAAATCATATGGGACACACTCTTGACATTACAAAAAGGAAAATTTATTGCATCCATTTATAGTTTTGCCAGAAAAGAAAAATAGAAAGAAAAGCTTCAGTGATCCAAAACCTACAATAAATGCAAAAAACTGTATCTTACATGATTCTTCTGATCTCTCCAAATCAGTCGATGTGTACTAAGAAGGAGGGTCCCAGCATCAAATTTTATCTAGAAAGACAAGATCGTCACAAAATATTAATAACTGCCTTGGGCTGAATGTCCTCCCAAAACTTAATCCCCACTGTAACTGCTGAGGATGGGAAATCCTATTATGGTAACTGAAAGGTGGGGCCTTGAAGAGGTGATTATATTGCAGGACCTTGCTGTAATGAATGGACTAAAAATGGTGGTCATGGGCATGGTTCTGATGGCTTTAAAAAGAGAGTGAATGAGGAGGTTAGTCTCTTGCTCTCTCTCCTCCACCATTTTCGCAATGTGATACTCTGCTGTCACTGTCACCACACGAAGGCTCTCACCAGATGTGTTCCCTGGAGTTTGGACTTTCAGCCTCTGAAACTGTAAGCAATAAATTTTGGGTTTTTTTTACAGATTACCCAGTTCTGTGTGTTTTGTTATAAGCAACAGAAACGGACTAATACAATAACATATCACTAAATGTGGTGCAGATTTTTTTCCTCATGAATGATACAATACTAAGTTAATCATATAAATAAACATTTTCCTTTTAGAACTAAGCTTATCACAAATTAAACAGAAGCAATGCTACACAGTCCATAAGTCATATATATAGCCTTGATAGAATTAGGAAAAAACTGCAAACAACCTGGATGTGTAACAATAGGGGAGTGGCTCGATAAAGCATGAGACATCCACACTAAGGAGTCTATGGAGGGGTTGAAAAGAATGATGAGGCAGAATGTATGGGTTGTATGTATGGACTATCATGAACTATAAGACACTGAGTTAGTGGGGAAAAAGGAAAATGTGTGCATGTGTGTGAATGCATGCACATACACACACACAAGTAGTAAACAAAGCTCTAAAAGGAACACACAGTGATCTGTTAATAATTATTTCAGAAAAAGTATGAGGGAATGGGTAAAAGGAAAGCAAAGAGCCCTTTTAACTCTACACTTCACTATTGATTGATTTATTTTATTTGAATGAGATCGAATTCATGTATAACACTCATATAACTTTTCTTATTAAGAAGAAAATCCAGAAACAGACACAAACACATGCAAAAACAAATACAGATGGAGAGTCAATCAATGGCCCTGGGACAACTGGGTTGCCATGTAGGGAAAAAAAAAAACCCATAAATCTTGATTTATTTGTTCTGTTTTGTTGGGGTTTGTTTGTTTGGCAGCTGGCTATTATGGGGACCCAAACACGATGCTCTAACCAACTGAGCTAACTGGCCAGCCCTTAAAGCTGGACTTATACTTAACACACT